TTATCATATATGGTATATTATTTTAAAAAAAAGTAATAAGCTAGAATTTATTTAATTATATATTTAATAGTAATCAAGTATTATATCAATAATATAATTGATATTCTTTTATTAATAATATGATTATGTAGATGATCATCCCTACAACTTTTAAGTTTAGTTTAGTTTAATTTAAACTAGTGTGGACTATCATTAAGAATGATGTAGCTAATTAATAAAGCACAATGATTTTAGAGGTTATAATTGATCAATAAGTAGCTGTGATCAGATTTTAAAAATTATTTATTAAATTTTGTATATGAGAATCTAGATACTTGTTTGAATTTTTAGCCTTTTTCAATAATCTTCACTTGTCATAAATAAATCAAGTATAAATCAAGTTCAAACATTGAAATATTTAAATAAGCTAAGATTGAACAATATGCCAACACTCGACATAAGCTCAAGCTGAACATGAACTTAGAATTATACCAAACCAAGTTTGAACTATGACATACTTGACGCAATTCAACTTGATTACAACCCTAGTCGTAAGTCATTACATGAAAAATTGTACTTGACTTTTAAATAATAATGATATTTTTTATGTGATATTAAAATTTGAGTGTTATGCATATATATAATAAAGTATAGGTGTTAGACATACATGTAAATACATAAGAATTGTGTGGTAATGTGTGTATGAATGCCCCAATTTAATTTTTAGCGCTTAAACGTTCAATTCAATTAAACCATTTCCCTCGTTTGCGTTTCCCCTTTACTCAATTCATCTCCATCTCCCCTGTCTTCGCTTGCCTCATGGAAGATGCCATCACTAGTTGATGCTAAGTTTCGTCAACACCATTGTCGATTAAGTAGTGGTGTCAATTCGGGATAGCAATCTAACTTAAAACTAATCTGACCCAAAGAGGTCCGATCATAACTCGGCCCAAATATTATATGTGTTGAAATTCTAAACCGAACTCGATCCGCCTTCAATACGCATAACCCGTTCAACATAATGAATAACAATTGTTCATCTTAAACTTTGGTCAATTCTACATTAGCGGGTCGATTTCAAGTAAATTAGGGTTGGCAAGTCATTTTTGAGTTGGTGGGCCAATCCTAACCCGACCAAAAAACGTAAATGGATTAGGATTTTTAACCCAAATATGCCCTGAAAATTATTCGAGACAATCTAAACCCGAGTTTTTTGAGTTGGATTCGGGTGGAGCTAGTGTGTTGGGTCAATTTTTTACACCCCTATAATTAACCTCTTACACAAGCATGGGATAAAAGAGGACAAGAATCAATGAATGCATCCATCAACTTGTGTTTCATCTTCTTCTCATCTAGTCAGACAAGGAATCTAATTCATAGCTGATCTCTAAACTTAAAAAGAAATATTGACATTCTTTACTGTTAATAGACCAATACCTTATTCCTTCCTTATTGGAGAAGACTCTCCATTTATTCCGCATATATTCTTCACTATTTCACTAAGAAGAACCCTAATGAGCCAAGTCAAAATACCAAATTGCAACAACAAAGGTGTTTATCAGTTACCAAATTGCATGGCTTTGACTTTGTGCATTTTGGAGGAACAACATGTGATATCTATTAGGAAGATTTACATACATATCACCGAATCTCTATGTATTTACATATCTACTCTGTAATTAAACTTCATTTTTAAAGTTCATATAACACTACCTATGCATGAAATGTATATTTAACTTTTTAAGGATTTGGAGGATATAAATGTAAATTACCAAAGGTGTTAAACTTTACAATAAATTTAGCATTTTATATTGTGGTTTAGGATGCTGCCATTTTGTTATATCCAAAGAATTATTATTGTTAAGTTTGTCAACAAGCTGCTTGTGATTTGAATTAATGAGAGCTAGTTTATAGTTCGCTTGACAAACTAATTGATTAAATTTTGATCTCCTTAGTCAACACTTGTTGTTCAATACACTATGTTTAAGAATGGTATCATTTAATGCCCACTAACAAACTAATTAAAATGTTTATTAATTGTTTGAATATTAAAACTCATTTATTAATAGTTTCATTTAAATACTTATTATTTAGGCCCAATAAATTTTGTTTGATACTACTAATTTTTTTTTCCGAACAGGTTATTCGTAGAAAGCTTAGTTAGAGAGCTGTATTATGACTTGTTCATCTTGTTAGAAAAGCTGCTCATTAAGAAGCCTAATGATCCCAATAAAATTTGAGCTTGAATAAGATCTTGATAAATGAGCTAAAACTCAAACACATTTCTAAAGCTCGAACCAAGCTCGAACAAACTTTTAATACACGGGCACAATCTCGTACAAATACTTGGTTGGCTCAAGTAGATTCATCTGCAGCTCTAATAACAATAATTGTGATTACATAGCGGTCATTAGAGTGAGCTTTAATAAGAAATTTATGCAATTATTATTATTATTATTATTATTATGTTCTCACTTGATGTATTATCATACAAAACATAAGGCTTTTATTTATTTATTTTGATTTTCTTGAGACATTAAGAGAGGAAGAGCCACCCAAAGACTCTTCTCACCTCCACCACTATTCCAGTACTATTGTTGAAAATGGAATAATATCTTCATAAACCTTATTGATATGGATGAGGATTTAGGGCATCTTATTCCCTTTGCTAAACAAGCAAGAAAGCATGCAAGTCAGTAGTGATCAAGATTTAGATTTGAGTAACTTACATGTGGTGACTGAATAAGTCAGTACAGCATGAGCTGTTGATATGCTTCTTAGATTTAGAGAGTGCCGATATGACCCCATAAGAATATTTCCAGGAATATATATGTATAATAAAGATTTATATACATACCACTTATCTAAAACCTAAGCTTTAACTTTTACATATTTACCTGTCTTATGCACATATTTCACTTTTAAAATATTAAACTAATTATACTTTTAATGTGATATGAAATATTTGGGCGATGTAAATGTAAAATAGTAAAATTTTCAATGCCAGATATGTAAATACACAAGAATTGGGTGGTATATATGTAAATGCCCAGAGAGAGAGAGAGAGAGAGAGAGAGAGAGAGAGGAGTGGCCATTTGAAACCTATAAATAGTTCAGCCATGGAGAAAAAGAAATGACAGCACAGAAGGATTAGAAGAAGAAGAGAAGAGTGGAAGGGAGGTCTTACATGAAGATGAGAGCCATTCCTTGTTAGCCAAGGATGACTTGCCTTTGCCTTCAGTAGAGTCATCTGAAGAAATTTTCAAACTGTTTCAGAATCAGAAACCCTAGAAAGAAATTTCTCCGTATACTATTTTTTACATTGGGATCTGTATTTATAAATTTATATATATTTTTACAGAAAAGGAACAGATTTCAATGTAAAAATTGTGGAGAAAATAATTCTTTGGGGGATTTTGAATCTGATATTTCTGCTGTTGTTCAAAGGCAAAGGCAAGTCTTCTTGGCTATTCAAAGTGGCATTCAGTCTTCATGCTAGACCTGCTCCCTTTCTGGTTCACGTAATCTCATTGCATTATCTCTCTCTCTCTCTCTCTCTCTCTCTCTCTCTCTCTCTCTCTCTCTCTCTCTCTCTCTCTCTCTCTCTCTCTCTCTCTCTCTCTCTCTCTCTCTCTCTCTCTCTCTATATATATATATATATATATATATTTATTTATGCATGTCATGGTCAAAATTGGAAATTGGATAAAAAGGAAAAGTATTGGTTAAAGTTTTATAGTGAATTTTGATAAGGAGTGAGAATTTAAAAGTTGGAGATAAAAAATGATGCTTGCTTTGTAAATAGTAATATTTCGAGTGCAATGTGTGTAATTGTCCCATAGTGCATGACAATGATGACAATTAGAAGATGGGCGTTACTGAGTAGATGCACCCACGATCACTTGATGATACTGGTTAAAATATTGTCATTGGATAACAACTGTCCGGTGAAGACGACTGGGCAACAACGTTTGCTCGAGGTGATCATCAAACATTAAGGAGCATTAATTTTATTTAAATGTACTAGTTACTCTCAATTTTAAGTTTCGGTGATGCAAGAATTTTGTTTTTATTACCAAACACTAGATTGGATGACCATAGTGGATTCCCTTAATCATTGCTGAATATTTTAGTATTTAAGCATTTTAATGATGTTAAAATTTTATAATATGGAGACCGTTGAATTGCTCTCGTCAAAACACTAATTTAGTAATTTAAATTGCAAGCACATAAAATAAAGAGATCATCCAGTCTTTCAAATATTCATCTATGTTTCAAATAACTCATTAGAGCTCATCAGAACTCCAGCCAATAATAAACTTTAGCTTTTGTTGGGCTACTCTTATACTTCAAATTTCTGATTTGCTCTTTGGTTAGATAATGCTTGACTGAACTGACATTATTCTTTAAGAAAGTGCACTATGGGTCTATTTGGGGCAGCTCTAGCTTATTGAATAAATAATCTGCTGATAAGCTAGATGCGGTGGATATTACAATTTTTTATTATTTTGAAAAAATCAGACTTTTGCCAATAAGCTCTCACCGCACTTAGATAAATGTGGTGTGAAAATTCTATGTTCTGCGTTTTGAAAACGCATAAAATGCCAAAACACAGTTTACCCAAACATATCAGGTGCGTTTTCAAAACGCCACCGCACCAAATAAGCTGCCCCAATATCATTAGAGTAATTTTAAAATCTAAATGAAAAAAAGGATACATACAGGACATCCAAATTATTGATATTTATAAATCAGCCACACCGGACATATTTTTGAATTACAAAATTGATGCATTTACACGTGACACTACAAAGCCATTGTGAATTTGATAGAAATGAAAAATATGGTTTGGTGCTTCATCGTGGATTTTGATATTTGCTTGAGAATTTGAAAAAAATGGACGAGAGAAAATGTTTCGGGTGCTCTTCATGTAAATGCCCTTAAAAAAAGCTATGTAAATTTTCGCGCGCTAATATATATATATATATATATATAAGAGTTTAATTCTATATTTACGACACATAACCTTCGCCCGCGAGAAGAAGGAGAATGAATTATCAATCAGCCTCTCCTCCTCCTCCTCCTTCAGATTCTTCCTTCCTCCGGGTAAACACAGTGATCTCGGTAAACTTAAAATACGCTTGTTGAATTATCTTGATTTGATGTTTGCTCTTGATTTCTAGTTACAATCTCCGCAATTAGGGCTTTCATAGGCTGTATTGTTTGTCGATTGCGATAATTGGGTTTTTTAAATCGATTCATCAGTCTGCTCTTTCATTACTAGTTGATTCTGAGGTTTGGTTAGCTCTATTGTTTGTCGATTGCGTTCAGTGCTTGTTCCTTAATCGTTATTTGATCTTGGTTTGTTTGCAAGGTACTCGAACCCTTATCCACCTCCACCGTATGCGCGGCCTTACCCTTCGCCTTCTCAAGCTTATCAGGGTATTTCCATGGAGGATACCCTCCGTCCCGCCCACCAGCTCCTAAATGCCAGCCTTGCTGCTACCATAGACATGATAGAGCTTCTTGCTTCTCATTTCTGAAAGGATGGTATGATTTATGGCTTATGTTTGTTTTGTATTTTACTTATTGGTTCATTGCCAGTGTGGTAAATTACTCATATGAGTTTTGGATGGTATTTACATAAAATGCATTATTTTTTCATTAAGTACCTGCATGCTCCCCATGTTGGGGAATAGGAATATGATCTATTCATCCACAAAATAGGACTCCAGAAGTTGCTAGAAATAAATAAATTTTATGTTAAAAATAAGCTTACTTTAAATAATTAAAAGTTGTTGAAAAGTTATTAGTTAAGAAGTCAACGTTAGGTGACACATGTGATGCATGTGTGTGTGGCAGATGTGCTAGGTGAAGAATGAATAATTGAAATTAGTTTAAGTGTTGAATAATGTGTGATGTTGGTTACTTCTAAATTTGTATAAATATCCCTTCATTTTATTGGTTATGAATCAAGTTTTAAAAAAAAATTGTGAGCTTTTAAATAGAATTTGTGTTGGTATGAAAGTTGTATTTTGTGATTTTGTGTTTATAAAAAATTTTAGTTTTTCCCAACACAAGATTAGAGGTGAAATCCAATGGTCTAGCTTGGGAGAAAGGCTTTGATAAGAAGAGGATTCTTCAGAATCTTATAGCTATCTTCTAGACAATTATATATGTATATATATAGGAAGATTTACATACATACCGCTCAAGTCCTATGTATTTACAAATCTAACACCTAAATTTAATTTTTACACACACATCACCTTATCTATGCTTGAAAAGATGGATTTCACTCTTTAGAAGTTAAAATGATGATATTCACTACAGGAATAATGTTCTTTTCCGTCGACCAAATTTCGTCAGGTTTAATGAGAAAAACCGTCGCTTTTACTGTTTCTAACAGTTTATCGGTTGTTTTTATCTCGTAGCTATAATACTTGTCGGTAATTTTAAAATCGATTGATATTCCGACGACCTAAACTTACCGACGCACAATCGACAATTCAATGTCGTAGTTTTTTTTTTTTTTGAGAAATTTCAAATCATCAGTTTACATCTTTTCATATAACCGATGTTTGATAACCGACAACTAAACTGTCAGAAAAATATCGCGACCGTCGTTTTTGTATGACACATGTAAGTCGTTAGTTCTGTGTCGATTAGACATCGGTTAATAAGTCATTTGCTAGCCGTTGGTTTTGGCTACTAATATGTTAAAAATGGTCGTAAAACCGTTAAAAACTTGTATAAAAAAAACTCTTATTCGTATTTTCATTACTACACTTGTTATCACAACATTTAATTTACCATTCTAAATATTTAATGAACTAAAATGACATTTGAATGGTAAATTATCCCCTCAAATAACAAAATAAATAAAATACATTTAAGCTAACATATATGCATCAATGACGACAGAAAAAATATATGGTTAAACATACAACATAATCATAAAAAGAAGAAAAAAATCCCCCCAATCTTCCTCCTCTATTTCCTAATCATCGTCCTCTTCGTCCTTCGACTCTTCCTCCTCCAATACTACATTGTATCGCTGCCTCATTTGCCTCCAAAACGAACCTAACTCGGCCTTCAGTTTGGCCTCCATATTTGCCTCCTGCTCCGACCACATCTTAGTGAAGCAGGCCTCCATCTCGACAGTGAATGTGGCAACACACCTGAATACCTCCTCCTCTTGTGCAGTAGAGGTAGAAGCCGCAGATGCATTGGTTGAGCTTCATAAGCACGATCATAAGCAAACCCCTGTGTTTCAAGCCCATAGACTCAACCTTTCTTTTCCCTCCAGCAGTCTCCCTCCACAAGTCGTACTCGAAAGGATCACGATTGCTGATAATAATACCTCATGACTCCTGGGATCGACTCTCCTTCAACTGTTGGAATCTTTACACAAAAAAAAAAAAAGAAAAAAAAGTTAGAGATATCACGTATTAACATCAAACTAGTTTAGCTCATGAATTACCTGCGTCACACGAGATCTGCCGTCGATCCAAGACTGTATGGACTGCCTTCTGTGGGTGCGCTGATGTATATTAGTAGCGGAGGGCTTCTGTCCCATTATCACAGTCTGTCAATATAACGAAATAATTAAAGTATATATATGTGATCTATAGAAAACTTTAAAGAATGAATGATATATTACCTGCCTTCGCTTGTATTATGTTTGTGAGAGCGCTCCATTAGTGTGCTTGGAGGGCCCCATGCTTCCATAGTCTGACCGTCTGTTATGCTTTGCTTGTTTCCTCTTCTTCTGATACTCCAGGTAGGGGTGTAAACGAGCCGAACATGAGCAAGCCCATGCTTAACTCGTGTTTGGCTCTTTTATATTTCGAGCTAAAAGAGTGTGTTCGTGTTCGACTCGTTTGTTTAATAAGCCGAAAACGAGTTGTTCTTGAACAAAGAGTCGTTTTGACAACCCTAATCACATAGCCATAAGATGTTAAGGATTGTGACAAGATTTAAAAATTATTGTTTATATTAAAATATTATTTGAATCTAATTTAATAATTTTTATTATATTTTCTTAATTAATACTTTTAATTGATTATAAATCTTTGTAGCCTTGTAGTCAATTAAATTATATATTGATGAACGAGCTGTTCATGAACAAAAAGTTGTTTTGGCAACCCTAATCATGTAGCCATAAGATGTTAAGGATTAGGACAAGTTTTAAAAATTATTGTTTATATTAAACCATCATTTGAATATAATTTAATAATTTTTATTATATTTTCTATTTTTATTATAATATAATTTAATAATTTTTATTATATTTTCTTAATTAATACTTCTAATTGATTATAAATCTTTGTAAACTTGTAGTAAATTAATTTATTTTAAAAATACTACAGATCATATATATATATATATATATATATATGTATATATATATATGATGAGTAGTATTTCGAGCCAAAACTAGTCAAACACGAACGAAAAAATCTTTGTTTGTGTTTGACTCGTTAACTTAGTGAACGAGCTAAACATGAGCTTCTTAACGAGCTGAACACGAGCTGTCGAGCTGAACACGAGCTGTCAAACAACGATCCGTTTTGACAACCCAAACTCCAGGAAATCTCAAACCCTAAGCAATGTGGCAAAAATATCCTCTCCGAGCCATAAAGGACGTTGCTACAATTTCAAATATCTTCGAACATGTTTCGGAGGCGATTGCTGCCCTTGTGCTCGAAGTTGCGCCGGATATGTACCTCGTGCTTAAGGTATCATGAGATTTATTTTTGCAAAATTACAGGGATTATGTTCGTTTGATTAAGAAATACAAACAACTTAAGATATTTGTGAATGATACATACCACAAACTCCTAAAACCAAAGATCTTGAATGTTCATCGAGATATCCTTCAACGACTAGTAGGCCGAGTTGTACTTGTTCCGAATGATATCCTGAATGACATGGATAGTTTGGGTCGAGATGGGGGTAAAACCTTAAAACAACAAATTATTAGTTTTCTATTCAATTTAAAAAGTAAAATTTAATTGTAAATATTTTTAAAAAAAGTTCACTTGTTGTCGACAGGCTCAATGCGATAGCTACTGTCTGTCGACACTTGCCTGATAGTGGCAGTGTGGGCCTCTGCTGCACTCAACCTCACTGTAGTCGGGGTGAGGACCTTGATCGGGGTGGGAGTAGAGGTTGAGATAGAGGTCGGTGTACTGATCGGGGTGGGTGTCGAAGTCGGGTGGCTTCTCCCGACGTGCTTCTTTGTCAGATATAGCACTATGCTCCATGCCCCCCGAGTGAGCAGGAAGTTCGTCCTTCCCTCCGGTGGACATCTGCAACAAAGAAAATAAATTTTATTAACTAGTGCACATAAAAAAATATTATGTAATAAACTAAAAACAGAATAATATGCAATAAACATATAACACATTTGTATGTAATACTAAATTAAAACACAAACTGATATATGAAATTGTGCAGTTGAAAACAAAACAAATAAGTACCAAGGATTCATTTGGTTCGGTGGGAGGAGCGCGACATAGGGAGCGCCTGCGAATTGCGGTCGTTTGGTTTAGCGGGAGAATCGCTGTGGGACGTCATTTTGGCGAAATGCGGACCGAACCCCGCGACCTGCGTTCGAGCAAGCATCTTTACCCTTGTTACCCCTCCCTGTTCGACGACCATTCCCCTCTGTTCGACGCCTGAAACCTCGCGCTCTTTTCAACAAAGCCATCCTCGTTCGAGCGAAGAGGAAGAATGGCGAACATGCTTACCCTCCTCAATGGTTTCTGTTCAAGTGAGAGAGATGAAAGTTTCGATGGTCTTTGTACGTCGCTATCCCGTGGTTGCCTACCCAACTTGCTCTAATCGTGACTATATTGGGAGGGTTCATTCACGAAGACCATTGTTTTGAACACGGAGAAGAGGGTAAGGGGGAGATAAGTTTATGGTTTTAATTTATTTTTATTTAAGTTTTAATTTTATTGATTTAATTGATTAATAATCAATGATTAATTAATATATTTTCAAATTAATCATAATTAGATAAATTTATATATTTTTATTTAATGATTAGTTAACTAATTTGTAAATATATTTTTAAGTTTTAAATTATTTGATAAAAATAGAAGTTTTTTATATTTATAAAACTAATTAATTATTAGTTAATATTAATTTATTGCTTAAGAAATATTTTGTTTAATAAAATATTTATTTTATATTCAGTTACATGCAACAATACTACACGGGGACAGGATAATCATTTTTTCCATAAACAACTGTCCCACAACTGCAGCAAAGAAGCAGTCAGCTTTCCCGCAACAGTCTCCTGGGGGAGCGGAGTTGCAGCTGAAAAGCTGAGAAGTTACAGTTGCCCCCAAAGAGATCCAAAACCTGTCATTTCAGTTTTAAAGTAACTTACTTATCTTACTCAGCATCGTCTGAAGAATGACTGGAGGATGTAATCATGAGCTCTTCTTCAAACGCATTGCTTGAGTCGTACTTATCACTGAGATTAATTTCTTCATATTTGCCACTAGTAACCTTTTGATTGAGCTCTTCGTCGATTG